GCCTAGGCCAACGAGTTCGAGAAGATCGTGCCAAGGGTAAGTTGGGAAAGAGGGGTTTCACTATAGGTTTCAAAGAACATATAGCATAGGAAACAATGAAGGTGCACCACCAAACTAGGTTTATAATAACTACACTAACTACAGCTACAGGCAGTTACAAATATAAATAATATAAAGTCTGACAGTGCCTACTTGGCCTCACTTGCTCACTTCTTGACCTTGCTTGTACTGTGATCTTTCTATACCTGCACTTGCTTGTTTACCTTTATATATGATCTTGCATGTGACCTGGCCTTCTGGCCTTGAACTTGTGCTCGGACTGTGTGGTGACGTTGTGATCCACCCTGAGCTTGCTTTGCTTTGCTTGACTGGTCTTGTGACCTCTTGTTCTCCCCCACTTTGCCTATGGGGGTGTGTCAAACTTATATGCTATAGTCTGTATAGGTTGTAGTGGGGTAGACAATATGGGGTACAATATTTCTAGGTTTTCCTACTTGTACCCACCTCTTTCCTAGTTCATTCATTCCTCATTTCTTCACAAGTTCGCATAAGTGTGCGTTAATTCTATGTTCGTGATTTTTGTGTTCGTGACTGTGTTCGTGAAATTCCGTGAAGTTTGTGCGCTGTTCATGAATGTTTGTGAGCGTTCATGTTAGTTTTCGTTTTTCTGTTTTCGTGTGTGTTCATGAAGTATCGTGGGTGTTCGCGAGGGGTCAATGTTGACCCTTGGAAATTTCTCGCGTCAATCAAGGTCAACTGCGCGGAAATATCAGTACCCGCGCTTGGGGTCCTGATCGTGCTTGTGGGCCCGCAGGCCCGCGCGGGTGCCTCGCACTGTTGCTAGCGTGCACTTTGGGCACGGTCGCAACAGAACAGGGCGAATGATCGCCCTGCCCACGCGCAGCACTGTGCACGTCAGTGCACAGTACTGCACGACCGAAATATCGGTCGTGCATGATTGCGGGAAAGGACGAGCTCGGGATTACGGTTGAAAACCCGAATCCCGCGTTGACTCGGCGTACAAGTAGCTTCGTCGGAAACGTCGTGCGTCGGGTCACAAGACCAGTCAAGAGAAGCAAAGCAAGCTCAGAGTGGATCACAACATCACCACACACACTGAGCACAAGCAAAGGGGCCACAAGGCCAGTTCACATGCAGAGGTATATATCCAACAACAACAGCACCGTGATCTCTACCTAGCAGAGCAAGCATGCAGGTATATATATATATATATATATATATATATCACAGTACAGACAAAGTCTACAGCAAGTGAGGAAACGTGGGCACAAGGCCTAATAGAGTACAAAAACGCTGATGATCACCAGACGGAAGTGCCTTGGTGAATATATCAGCAATGTTGGCCCGAGTGGCCACGTGAGCAAGACGAAGCTGACCACGCTGCTGCAACTCTCGAGCCAAGAAGTAACGCAGAGCGATGTGCTTCGTTCTGTGCTCCAATCTATGCTCCTGACATAAGGCAATGGTGGCCTTGTTGTCGACGTACAGCACTGGAGGAGAACGAGGCCGCTCTCCCAAGTCGGTCAGCAGGTAGGTGAGCAGCGTAACTCCTGTGCAGCCATGGCTGTGGCATAGATCTCAGCCTCACAACTGGAGCTGAGAACTGAATACGAGCGTGTAGAACCCCAAGAAACTGAACCAGAGCCAAGGCTGAAGGTTCTGTGACGACCGCTGCATAGCCTGGTCGTCAACCCAAGAAGCGTCCGAGTAACCAGTGAGGACAACGTCGCCTCGTCCTCCAAGCACGAGCCCCATGCTAGATGTACTGCACAAGTAGCGTAGTAACCTCTTAGCAGCATCCATGTGCACCTTTTGGTGCCGACCAGGAGCCACGTAGCGAGCCAAAAGGCCAAGAGGGTACGCAAGGTCAGGACGAGTGCAGGTCATCAGGTACATGAGGCAACCCACTAGCTCTGGGTAAGGACCACTCGGCTCTACGGACTCGTCCGAAGGTGGAGCTGAGAGCGAGTGACCTGTAGCCAGAGGAGTGGCCTGTGCCGAGGACCAGGTGAAGTTGAAGCGCTGAAGGACCTGCTGCACCATGTGTGACTGAGTCAGTGTGATGGTGCGGCGTGCTCTATTTCGGGTGATCTGCAATCCAAGGTAGCTGCGCAGCTCACTCGAAGACCAGAAGACGAAGGGAGACTAAGAACCTGGGGAAGCACAGAGTCAGGCGGTGGCTGGGACGACAGAGACGGAGGAGCAAAGAACAGGCGCGGCTATGGAGTGCCACCAGCACCAACAGCTCCAGTACCCCCAACAGCTCCAGCACCTCCAGCAGCTCCAGAACCCTCAGCGCCAGCTCCTCCAGGACCAGCTCCACCAGCAGCAGCACCCCCAGAACCGGCACCTCCAGTCCCAGGGTCTCCAGCCTCAGTGTCTCCAGCAGCAGCACCCCCAGGCTCAGCACCTCCAGCCCCAGCAGCTCCAGTAACCCCAGTACGAGCACCTCCGGGACCAGGACCACTCCCAGCTCCAGTGACGTCAGCAGAAGTAGCGGCAGAGCCCCGAGCTCCAGAAGCGCGACCCTGACGGCGACCGTACCAGTCGTGCAGCTGCTGTGAGGTGAGAGGCACACGCGGACAAAGGCGGCTACTCCAAGGAGACCGCGCAACAGCAGAATCAGAACCCTCAGCGCCAGCACCCTAAGCAGCTCCAGAACCTCCAGCTCCAGCGCCACCAGAGCCAGCACCTCCAACAGCTCTAGAACATCCAGCGCCTGCACCCGCAGCAGCTCCAGAATCTCTAGCAGAAACAACTGAAGTAGCAGAGTCACCAGCTCCAACGCCTCCCGTAGCAGGACCCCTAGCTCCAGCAGCGCGACCCTGACGGCCAACGTACCACTCACGCAGCTGCTGTTGGGAGAGAGGGAGTCGACGACAAGAGTGGAGCGGCGAGGCACCAGCAGAGCGACTACAGAGATGGCCGCTCCAAGGAGACTGCTCACCAAACGCCTCAGCGCCCATAAATGTAGCACCCCCAGACTCCTCACACTCAGGCTCAGCACCTCCAGGCTCCGCACCCTCAGGCTCCGCACCCTCAGGCTCCGCACCCCCAGGCTCCGCACCCCCAGAAGCAGCACCCCGAGAAGGACCACTCTCGGCAGGACCTGAGTCACCAGTGACCTCAACCGGCGCAATCAAGGGAGGAGGGTCTACCAAAAACACACCTAAAGGAGAAGGAACGGGAGCGGGGAGGGGGTCTACCTTGGGAGCACCTGGAGCGAGGAAGAGTGGCGGGGGGGAGAGAGGGGCAGTGCGGTAGGGGAAGAGATGGTAAAAGGGAACCGACTCATCGAACATAACGTCCTGAGAGGGGAAGACACGGCGCGAGGTGGGGTGGTAAAACTGCCAACCAGGCGCGTCAGGGACAAAGCCAAGGAATACACAGGGAACAGGGTGGGCGGAGCCAATATCCAGCCTATATCTGGACGCAAACTTCAACAGCGCGCCAATATCCAGCGAACGTGGGGTCCGGCAGGGCGATCCCTTAGGACCGCTTCTTTTTGCGGCTGGGATTCACACTGCATTAAGAGTAACAGCAACATTGCACCCCGGCGTGTTGTGCCTGGCATACGCTGACGACGTGAGCTTTTTAGGAGTTCGGGGGCGGTGTACATCTGTGATGTCACCATCACGGACCCGATCAGCACCAGGGACCCACATGCCGTCAAGGGAAGGGGGTGGGTGGGTAGGGAATAGGCTGACAAGAAGATCAGCCATCATGCCAGCCGCCCAGACACGGTTGCCTTTTTCCCCTAGGCGGTTGAGACATATGGGTGCCCGTGTGCGTGTCAGACTTATATGATCTAACCTGTGTAGGCTATAGCGGGTTAGATACTAAGGGGTACACAATTCTAGGGTTTCATATTTGTATCACACTCATTCCTTAGTCAATCATTCCTCGTGATTCTCACATGGTATAGAGCAGGTTCCCTAGTGGGAACGTTTCCTAGGGCCCACCACTGACAATCGAGAATAAAAAAAACAAAAAAAAAAAACAAAAAAAAACCTGCCCGGAAGGCGCTTCGCCCCTGCCCGAGTCGCGCCCCGTGTGCCTGCCCTCCCGTCGCGTCCCGTGCCCTTAGCGGCCCGTCGCGCCCTCTTACGGCCCCTCGCGGCCCCCTCTCACGGCCCTTAGCGGCCTCTTCGCGGCTCCCTTGCGGCCCCTGTGCCGCCCTTCGCGGCCCCTCTCACGGCCCTTCGCGGCCCCTTGCGGCCCCTCGCGACCCCTTTGCGGCCCCTCGCGGCCACTTCACGGCCTCATCGCCGCCCTCCGCGGCCCCTGCGCGGCCCCTTCTCGGCCCCGCCGCCGTCCTTCGCGGCCCCTTCACGGCCCTCGCCGCCCTTAGCAGCCCCTTCTCCGCTCCTCCGCGGCCCCTTCTCGGCTCCTTCACGGCCCTGCCGCCCAGCCATCGTCGCCCCAGCAGCAGCAGCCGTCGCGCCATCACAGCCGCCGCTACCACTGCCGGGGCCGCCGCCGCCGCCGCTGGTGACACCAGGAGCCACCGCCGCCGGTGCAGTGACAGCAGCAGGCGCCGTCGCCGCCAACAACAGCGGCCGCCGTCGCCGCCGACAACAGCAGCCGCCGCCGCCGCTGACAACGGCAGCCGCCGCCGCCGCCGCTACTTGAGCCGCGGCCGCCGCCGCCACCGCCCGGAGCAGCAACGGCCGCCGCTGCAGTTACGGCCGCCGCCGCCGCTACCGGGGCCGCAGCAGCCGCCGCCGCCAACAGCAGGTGCCGCTGCCGCTGTCGTGGCCCTGTCCCTGCAGGCGTGCCTCGGCCCTGCCCCTCCACTTCCGGCACTCTACCCTCCCGCCCTGGTAAGAGCACCGCCGAGCCGCGCCCCTGCTACTACGCTGCACCTAGCCTGCTGCTACTGCCCCTAGCCTGCTGCCACTGCTGTCATGGCTACCCCTAGCGTTCTCGTCTTTGATGCTGAGGGTCGGGCTGTTGACTTTGAGGTCTGAGTCGATGATATGCAGCTTTTCCTACAGTGCGACAGGAAAGACGGTCTCTCACTGTTCGATGTCACGTCTGGCGCCTCTGCTGCCCCAGCTGCCGATGCTGACAGCACTGTTCGCTCACAGTGGGCCACACGCGATGCTGCTACCCGTCTTGCTGTGCGTAGTCACTTGCCATCCTCTGAGCGCGCGCACTTCAGTCAGTACAAGAGTGCTAGGACCTTGTACGACGCTATAGTCGCACGCTACTCTTCCCCTGCCACAGCTGCCCTTAGCCGCCTCATGCTGCCGTACCTGTTCCCTGACCTCGCCGTCTTTCCCACAGTCGCTGACCTCATTACGCACCTTCGCACTAGTGACACCCGCTACCGCGCTGCGCTTCCTGCTGAAATCTGCGCCAAGAACCCCCCCCCCATGTACATCACCCTCTACTACATAGTCACCCGGCTCCCTGACTCCCTTCGCTCGGTCAGGGACCACTTCCTCTCTGTTTGCCCCACCACACTCACCGTTGACCTCCTCGAGGAGCGCCTCCTGGCAGCTGAGAAAAGTATAGTCGCTGTAGGATCCTCTCGTGGTGACCCTCGTGCCCCCTTCTTTGAGGGGTGCTCCTCCTCCTCCCTTTTGCCCTCTGTTGCCTCTGCTGCTGCCGTCAACTTCGATGGCACCGAGTCGGTCGGCGCTGCGTCTGCCCTAGCGGGAGACGCCGCACCGGCAAGGGCAAGGGGGGAAAGGGCGCTAGAGGGGCTGGCGGGGGCGGTGGAGGTGGCGGTGGAGGCGGCGGAGGGAGTGGGGGTGGCGGTGGGAGTGGTGGCGGGGGTGGGGGCTTCGGTGGCGGCGGTGGAGGCGAAGGCGGCGGCGGTGGCGGTGGGAGCGGAGGCGGCGGTGGCGGAGGTGGCAGCGGCGGAGGTGGAGCTGGTCGGGGTGGCTCTACGCAGCGGGGCGGCTTCGGTGGTGGTCAGCGCCAGCACCAGCAGCGCACTCGTGAGACCCCTCCCCCCCAGCAGCTTCGTGAGTGGTACGCTGCGCGTCAGCGGGGTGGGGGTGCTGGTCCTTGTGCCTACGTCTTGCGTACCGACGACCGCACTGGTGAATCGTGCGGTGGCCCGCACACCACCCAGCGCTGCTTCGGCCGCCTGACGGACGCTTGGCGTCACCAGTTCCCTGACGCCACTGAGATCCCCCGCTGAGGCGAGCTGCTTAGGTCGGAGGTTGCTATCTTTGATCTGGATTATGATGCTATTCTTGCTGCCATGTATGTTGTGTCTACTAGTGATGAGGGTGACTGTTACCTGTGTGTTCCGCCTGACCCGGGCATTGAGACTGCTGCTCTAGGAGAAGGTGACGCTGCTGCTCTAGGTGCTAGTGCGTCTACTGCCCCAGGTGCTAGTGAGTCTGCTCTCTCAGGTACCACGTTGGCTCAGGCCGTACACACCTTCACCCTTGACTCGGGTGCTTCCCGCTCCTTCTTTCGAGACCGCACCACGCTTACGCCGCTTGAGGCAGGAGCTACCCTCTCCATAGGAGCAACGCGAGTGGTTTGCCAGGCGCTGGAGCCGTGCTGCTGGAGCTTGAGGTGCTGCTGTTGCTGCTGAACCTGGGGTCGTCGCTGGAGGTGCAGGAGCCACTAGTCCTGGAGGTGCTCGTACTGGCGGTACTAGAGCAGCTGGGACTCGGGGTGCTGCTAGGGCTGCTGGAGTTGGTCCTGCCAGAGGTGCTGCTAGTGCTGCTGGAGGTACTGGAGCTGCTGGTGCTGCTGGGGGTACTGGAGCTGCTCGGGGTGTTGGCGCTGGAGGTGCTGCTGGCGCTCGTGCTTCTGAGGGTGCTGGAGTTGGCGCTGCTGGAGCTGGAGGTGGTGCTGGCGCTGGTGCTACCGCTGGGGGTACTGGTGCTGTCCCTGCTGTTTCCGGAGGCACTGAGCGGCCGCGGACGTACTTCGTTCCGCTCCTTGAGCAGGTTCTTGGTCTCCCGCCTTCTACTGGTCCTGCTCCTCCCTTAGAGTGTCCACAGCCTGTCCAGTCGCAGTCACAATAACAGCCCGCCTCCCCACTACCTGCTCCTTCTCCCTACACTGGTCCTACTGGAGGTCTTGCTGAGCGTCGTGCGCCTGCGTCTCGTCCTGCGTCGCCTGTTCGTGCTGCTCCCGCTAGTCGTCGTGTTCCGCGTCAGCGTCCTCCTGCGGTCCCGGGCACGCACCAGATGGCACTTCGTCCTTCCACTGCTCCGTAGGGTGTCCCTTTGCCGTCTCCTCCAGAGTCCTCTCTTCCTGCTCTTGCTGACCCTGAGTCTAACTCTCTTCGTGCTCCCATTCCTACTAGCACGCGACTCCTAGCTACTGTTGTCACTGACCCTTCCTTTGAGTCCACTACTGCGTTTGCCTTGGTTGCTGAGCTTGTCGACTTCGCTGCTCACTGTCGTCTCGACTACGCCGCGAGTCTTGTTGCTGAGTCTGAGTCTGTCTGTCCTCCGTCCGTCGGGGGTGAGTGTGCTCTTAGGACGGACGTCCTTGAGGACAGGCAGGAGGAGTTCCAGTGTTTTGCTACTGCTTTGCCTCATCTCGTGTCCATGCTGATTGCACCTGAGGGAGACCCGGATGCACCAGACATCCCGACTCCTCGATCGTACGCTGAGGCGATCGAGGGTCCCAACTCCTCACAGTGGCAGTCAGCCATGGACGCAGAGATGGCTTCCTGGAAGTCTACAGGCACCTACGTCGACGAGCTTCCCCCACCTGGGGCGAACATCGTCAGTGGCATGTGGATTTTCAGGGTGAAGCGGCCGCCGGGTTCTCCGCCTGTCTTCAAGGCGCGTTACGTGGCTCGAGGCTTCAGTCAGCGGCAAGGAGTTGACTACTTTCAGACATTCTCTCCCACCCCGAAGATGACCACTCTTCGGGTGCTGCTGCACATAGCCGCTCAGCGCGACTACGAGCTTCACTCTCTTGACTTCAGCACAGCTTTCTTGGAGGGCAGCCTGCACGAGGAGATCTGGCTGCGCCGCCCACCTGGCTTCACTGGGTCGTTTCCTCCTGGTACCCAGTGGAGCCTCCAGCGGCCAGTCTTCGGTCTCCGCCAGGCGCCTCGTGAGTGGCACGACACACTGAGGACTACACTTGCGGCTCTTGGGTTTGCTCCTTCTACTGCCGACCCGTCGCTGTTTCTACGCACCGACACCTCTTTGCCGCCGTTCTACATCCTCGTGTACGTCGACGACTTGGTCTTTGCCACTGCTAACACTCCTGGACTCGCCCACGTGAAGTCCGAGCTGCAGAAGAGACACACGTGCACAGACCTGGGTGAACTGCGCAGCTACCTTGGCTTGTAGATCACCCGGGACAGAGCACAGCGCACCATTACCCTGACTCAGTCACACATGGTGCAGCAGGTCCTTCAGCGCTTCGACTTCACGTACTCCTCGCCTCAGGCCACTCCTCTGTCTACTCACCACTCGCTCTCAGCTGTGCCTTCGGATGAGTCCGTAGAGCCGAGTGGCCCGTACCTAGAGCTTGTTGGCTGCCTCATGTACCTGATGACCTGCACACGACCTGACCTTGCATACCCTCTTAGCATCTTGGCACGCTATGTTGCTCCTGGGAGACACCGACAAGAGCATATGGCTGCAGCAAAGAGGGTGTTGCGCTACTTGTGCAGTACATCGGGCTTGGGGCTAGTGCTTGGAGGGCGGCGTTCAGTGGTCCTTACAGGTCACGCAGACGCTTCTTGGGCTGACGACCAGGCTACGCAGCGGTCGTCACAGGGTTACACCTTCAGCCTTGGTTCCGGCTCTGTTTCGTGGCGGCCTACCCGCTCGTCTTCTGTTCTCGGCTCCAGCTGTGAGGCTGAGATCTACGCGGGGGCCATGGCTGCACAGGAGCTACGCTGGCTCACCTACCTGGTGACTGACCTAGGAGAGCCGCCTCGTTCTCCTCCAGTTCTGTACGTAGACAACAAGGCCATGCTGGCCTTGTATCGGGAGCACAGACTGGAGCACAGAATGAAACACATTGCTCTTCGTTACTTCCTTGCTCGTGAGCTGCAGCAGCGTGGTCAGCTGCGCCTTGCTTACGTGGCCTCTGAGGCCAACACTGCTGATATCTTTACCAAGGCACTTCCGCCTTGTGATCATCAGCGCTGCTGTAGGATGCTAGGTCTTGTGCCTACTTGGCCTCACTTGCTCACTTCTTGACCTTGCTTGTACTGTGATGTATCTATACCTGCACTTGCTTGTTTACCTTTATATATGATCTTGCATGTGAACCGGCCTTGTGGCCTTGAACTTGTGCTCGGAATGTGTGGTGACGTTGTGATCCACCGTGGGCTTGCTTTGCTTTTCTTGACTGGTCTTGTGACCCCTTGTTCTCCCCCACTTTGCCTATGGGGATGTGTCAGACTTATATGACTTAGCCTACGTAGGCTATAGTGGGGTAGCACATATGGGATACAACACATTTCTAGGGTTTGTACTTGTACCCAACCTTTTCTCTGTAAATCATTCCTGCTTATGTATTAGAAGCGAATGCCAGTAAGCATCAATCAAATCACCATGGCTTTACAAATATCAATGTACTATTTTTTCTACAACACTGCATCATTTATAGTACTTATCCAGCCCTAACCCTCCCTATCCATGGTGGGGTCATCCTGGTCGGCGTCACCATGTGACTCTAGCTCCTCTACGTTGTTGTAGCAGAATCCATATGCTACTACCTCATTAGTCACATCTACTTCTTGAGATACAGAGTCTCGCCTGTGCTGCAGGCAGAGGTTGTCCTAGGACCCATCCAGGGTATTGCTGATCCTACACGTGAGAAACGCACGCACAATCAAGGCCTGAGGCACGGCCTCCTAGGCCTTGATGCTCAGGTGGATGGCTTTATATGTTGCCTACAATAAAGAAAAAGCCGTACGAAAAACATGACAAGTAGGTACAAGGCGGACAAAAACGCGCACACAACCCACACTATTGGAAGGGGGTTAGGCTCACCTTTAGCAGCACACTGTTGACCCACTCGAGCTCGAACCACTCTCGGAAGAGTTGCCTGACTGTGGCCTTAAACGACCAATTCCACGGGTTGAATCTCAGCGGTGAATTCAGCAAGAATCACTGCAAAGATTATCTTAAGCGCACCTAACATTTCTTCAATTCTTCGATCATGTGCTCGCAATAGGATTCGAGGACAGGCATTTCTTTCCTGCTGCTGTTTCCAAATTTCCGGCAGATGTACGGCTTTACGGTCCCATCCAGCCAAGCGATCACGCCGTCCACGTCCATCTAGCTGTTCGGATGCGCAGCTACCATGAAATTTGCACAAGAGAGTACACAACTGTATTAGTTCCATGATTATATAACTACACTGAAAATACAAATTCAAGGGTTCCTGATGAGAAATCCCCCTTGAAAACAGTTTTGCGCTTAAAGAAAACCCATGGCTTCAACTTCTCTCCGCTAGCAGTGCACGCGAGCATCACACTGACGCGCTCTTTTATTTAGACGCCGATACGGATGGAAAGAGAGCGCGATCCCACCTCCTCAACGGTCCGCTCTATTGGCATCTCCAGCAAGGGTGGCGTTCAATCCACGTTTATAATCTAGCTTGCATTGATTTTTATACTAGTGGCGGGCATTTCTTACGAACTTTCCTAAGTTCTGGACCTAGGTCTCACAGTCTACAGATTCGGACGTAAACAGGATAAACAATATTTTTAACCAAAAAGCTTATGCATCAACAGAATGCCTGGCATGCCCAAGGCAAGCCAAACCAGAATGCAAAAATTTGGGAGAGACGAGAATAAGGGCAATACGGTATGAAACCTTTCAAAACATATATGCTTAGCTGTATCTAGACTGTATGGGGGCTAGCTTTAGGGGGTACAGAAATCATCTCGACATTCTCCTTGTACCCCCTTCCCTTCACCTAACCCCACCAATCTTGCTCTGACATCTCCTAAAATGGTGTTAAGAGCCATTAGGTCCTTAGGACCAGAATCTTAAGAGGGCCCACCATTAGTTCCTACTCGAATCGCGCCCCTAGGTGCGTCGCACTTTTTATCCTGCTCAAAACGAGCCTAGGCAAGTCGATTTTCACTGCCTAGCTCCGCTGCCCTGCCTGAGCACCGCCCTGTACGCGCGTGCTCTGCCTGCAGCTCCGCCGCCCTGCCTGCCCACGCGCTCTGCACGCGCACCATGCCTGCCCACCCGCGCGCTGCCCGCACACGCTTTGTCGGCCGCGCCGCCCTGCCGAGCCACGCCGCCCTGTTCGAGCCGTGCTACCCTGCCCGAGCTGCACTGCCCTACCCTTGCTTAGCCGCGCTGCCCTGCTGCTGCTGCTGCCACTACCACTACTACTGCTATGGCTACTCCTACGTTGCTCACCTTTGATGCCGAGGGGCACTCGATCGATTTTGAGAACTGGCTCGAGGGCTTAGAGTGGTTCCTTAAGAGCACATATCTCACTATTTGAGCATACCTTTGGGACTGTCGCTAGCCCTACTGAAACCACAGACCAGAAATTTTGTTCTCAGTGGACTGCTCGTGATGCCAGTGCAGCTCTTCCTGTTCGTTCTCAGTGGACCGCTCGTGACGCTAGTGCAGCTCTTGTTGCAGCTCTGGACGCAGCAGCTTTGGGAGTGGGCAATCAGGCATGGCAGCTCGGGTGGCCCAGCTCGCTGTGGGTACATCCGTCGCACAGGTCACCCACCTCTAACCTAGCTGAGGGGGGTGACCCAACTCCTGCTGCCACCATGACCCCTCGCCGCTTTGCGCGCTTGGCGGTCCCTCCTGGGTTTGCACCTCGACTGTCTTGACCGTCGATGCAGCCTGTCGCTGTGGACTCTTGTGCTGCAGGAGGTGGTACCACTGGGGGTGCTGGTTCTGGGGGTGCTGAGTGTCCTCTGGGTACAGGAGGTACTGGAGGTTCTGGTGCTGGTGTTACTGGTACGAGTCGGCAGGAGGCTCTCTCGTCGGAGCGGCTTCGCGAGTGGGATGTTCAGTGGGGCAGCCCTGGTGGTGGAGCTAGCCGTCTTCGAGCCGGAGGTGCTGGGACTACTAGAGCTGGAGGTGCTGGCACTGCTGGAGCTGGAGGTTCTGCTACTGGTGGTACTGGTGCACGTCGGCAGGAGACTCTCTTGCCGGAGCAGCTTCCCGAGTGGGCTGTCCAGTGGGGCAGCCTTGGTGGTGGAGCTAGCCGTGCTCGTCCTACTAGAGTTGGAGGTGCTGGGACTCCTGGTGCTGCTGGAGGTACTGGAGGTGCTGCTGCTGTGGGTGCTGCTGCGGGCAGTCCTAGTGGTGGCGC